TAGAAGTAGAACAGTTCAGGAAAGACAGGCACCAGAACAAGCACGTTGATGGAATTAAGAGGTAAGACATAAAAAGCCCCATGACTTCTTAAGCCTGTATTTCTCGGTTAACAAGGTCTAAAATATCATTATTGGCTTAATAAATGTTAAAAGATTCTAATCTAAGATATTAAGCTACTTATTGCATGGACTTGGATAATGTACGAACCGTATATGATTCATTTTCTATTTATTCGCAAGACTTCTTTTGTTTTTAACTTTTTTGTTTTTTCTTTTCTTGGAAAAAGTTTACTTGTACCTTTAGGCCAAGATCAGTGAGTCAATTTTAATTTTATAAAATTAAATCTTGAACTTACCTTTAACTTAATTGAGTTTCTTTTTCTTTGTGAAGATGTGTGACTAGTTGCAGGTTAATTTGCGGCTGGACAAAGGTATCTTTGTAGTTACTAATTCTTCTAATTGTGCTGGTTGTTTTTATCGGGTTCGGGAATTTTGGTGTAGAGTTTGATGCCTTTTCATTTGTTTAATATTGTGGCTAGGTTTGAGTATTTTTGTGATTGGGTCAAGTACAAACTTTTTTTTTTTTTTTGACATACCTATTGATGTGAGAATTCAAGTTGAATGAGACTTCATGATAAATACACACTCACATACAGATGTAAACACGTGTGATTGATGAGCATAAGACCATGCACAAATGGTTAGGTAAGAGATGCGGACCTTATGTCTAAACTAAATCCTAATAGAGGTGACCAATAATACTTGGTGACATAAGTAGGCTTTGCCAGTTGCCACTACAAATAACTTTTAGCTCTAAAACCATGCTAAGAGAACTGTCACGTAATTGGAAGGTATACTTTCCATTTTCCAACTCAAAAAGTTGTTTCAAGGTGGTCGAGCTGAACTAGTTTTCAAGACAGGATAAATTCTTAAAGAATCATTGTAGGATAAGATGAGGGTTCAATTATTGCTAATACTTTGTGCCCGACCTACCAGGTTCGACTGAGAGATTTGCAAATAAATATGTAATAAATAACCACAATTCACTTTACGGCTAAGTGCCCTCGAGTCCGTTCTCATCTTTATCTTAAGCTTTAAAGAAACAAGTATTATTTAGCCTTTTAAACTCACGAACCATTAGACCATACCAATTACCAAGGAAAGAAAAAGTAAATTTCATCCCCAAATGAAAAGGTAGTAGTAAAATTTAATTTACTGACAATTTTGTTACCAACTAATAGAAGCCTAAGGTAATATGTACTTGCCATTTCTCATCGAATATGGATGAGATCTCTTTCCAAACCCCATCATCCAGTAATAAATAATTTCCTTCTACTATAACGACCTTATGCCTGAAAGTGAGAGAATATAATTATATAAATATACTTTGTAAATATAACGAAATAAAACCATTTTCAGAGTCAGTTTTTTTTTTTTTTACCATTTTCAGAGTCAGGACAAAACGAAAATTGCATCTCAAAATCAAAGAAAGGTCGAGCTGTCAGGGTAGCAAAAGAAGGATATAAACAATGAAGCAAACGATCCATGAAGGTTTTTCAAAATAATATCACATGATTTTGCAGAAATCGGACTGATTAAATCTTCATTTTGATACAAGTTTTCAACCACTTTAACAAATTAGTTGAGGTTTGTATCAGCTCTCCACCTTAGTCCATTTATCTTTTATTGGATTGTAATAGCTTTTCCTAGTTTATGTTGGGTGTATCCAAAATAATTTCCATTGGTTACAATCATGTCAGACAGGGTAATGCTTGCGATCCGCCAAGTTATTAGCAAAGATTGACTAAATACACTAGTATCCACGTAAAAAGGAATAAATCACTTACTGAAGGCTCACAAAGATATCATCCTCAACTGGATCACCGACACCATGATCAAATGATGGTGCATAAACTGATCCCTGGAGAAACCATGATTTCAAATTGTAACAAAAAGAAAACAATTGAAGACGAAGACATCTATACTACATTAAAAAGGTAGGAGGTAGGAAAAACATTTTTGGACACGTTTGTCCTTTACTAAATATTATTACAAATATTAAATTAATTATTAATTATTAATTATCCATACTATAAATGCATGAAATATAAAAGGTTAGAATGCAAAAAGTTTTCCAA